GGAGAGCTTGTTTAACAAACTGATCTAGCCAATTTTAAGATGAATTGACTGAATTCGTGCAATAACAAACTTCATCGATGGCAGCGGGGCTGGCCAAAGCAAGAGAGTCACGAGCTATTATCCCAACAACACGAACCAGGTAGTGAAGCACTGCCGATCAATGTCCAAATTTAAATAAGGTTACATCCCGATAAACGGGCAGTGCCGCACAGAGACATTAAAGTCGATCTGTAGGCCCACCTCTGAAGCTTCAGCGTGATTCGAGAAGCTTATAGGGCAGGGTCATCGTCAGCACAGCTGATAATTTCGTACAGTGAGGCTACTGTGGTGATTCGTGTGACGTACAAGGGACAAGGATGATGCTCCTTCAAGAATCAGAGTTGGCTGTGGCCAGCGACGCCGAATCAGCGCATTAACAGCACGCTCACATACGGATCGATCCTATGAAACACACACTAGGCCGACACATGCATTTGCACCACGAATAGAAACCCCTCTCTCCACTGCTGCCTGTTTGCTGCCTCTCCAATCACAACAACAGACGTTCCAACTAATGCTGATTATAAATGTCAATTGCAAGTCTACATACAGTATCTAATTCTGCAACTATCAATGTTGTGTCACTTTATATTTTTCCGATATGAACTTCACAGCTCAGTCCACAACAGGCCCTCAGGGTCAGCGTTACTCCCGCCGCCCGGGTCTCAGAAACTCGGCAGTGCCTCTCCACCAGCGACTCCTCTCCAGAAGAAGCCATAAACAACAAGATTCACCATTGTTCTCTCTCATTCCACCAGAAATCCGCACCAAGATATTTACCTATGCGCTGTCTGATTACGAAGACAGGCGCCGACCTCTCTTATACGATTCCAAAACTTCCTTCTGGCGGCCCTCTCATCGCGCACCTCGCAGGACGAGCACTGAGTTGCTAAGAACATGCCGTGCCATTTATCGCGAGACGTGGTTTCTGCCGTTTGCTCTCAAGGAGCAGATACACTGGCTGTGCGGCCCGCATGTACCGCCCGGGAGTGGCCAATTCAACGGCAACGCAACAAAGTTGACGCTTCTGCTAGGTGAAATGGCGAACCAGGGCCAAGAAAAGGTTGAGATTGAGAGCTTCCATGTTTTTGCAAACACGCGCCGCCTAGAGCATGGCGACTTGAGTGCACTACTATCGATCCCTGGACTGCATCCCCGGCGGATAACCTTGACGATTCGCTATATCGACTGGTGGGGCTGGGATTGGGAGTCTCCCGACAAGCCGTTGTATTTCAAAGCTGACTGGATCAGCGCAGTTTCCAGAGACATCTCACCTTCAACAAGCGAGTTCAGGATCGAGCTCGAGACTCTAGAACACTTGAAAGACCGGGTTGACCTCATTGGCAAACATATTGCCGAAAATTGGTTCTTCGGGCGATTTGGTGGCACTATTTTGTATGCCGATGTGTCGGGTAAGTGTCATCAGGTGTCCCGATGGTCTGGTTCAAGTGCTTGGTACAAGAAGCACAGGACAAGTTATCAAAAGCCCAAGTATCGCAAGCTGGACTATTACATCTTGACTATCACGTTTGAATCGGAACTCTCTATTAAGAGAAAAGGAGGGGTGGTGAGTGAAATAGCCAAAAGAAACGCCGCAGACCCGCTGTTCAAACATGTCCCAGCGAATCTCGGCGATCCGTCTATCCTTGACAGATATGGCCCTCCTTCGCATGAGATGCCCGGTGTTCCAATGCTTCCTCTACCAGATGAGGATGATGATCTTTGAAGACGAAAGGGTTTTTTCTGTTTTCTTTTAAACAGTTCATCAAGCCTATCATTGAAGTCCTGTTTCATGCAGGTAAAAATAAATTAGTTTGTCATTTTGAGGCATAGACCAGGCTTTCCAGTAGATTCATGATAGGAGAATATAATCTCCTAAGTATAGAAATAACCCGAAGCACTGATAAGTGACCACATTAGTAAACTTGATAGACACCAGTAGCGTCAGGATGCAGTCGTGAGCTTTTGAAGCTATATACATAAGTCAGGTTTCATAACCAATCTTCTAGGTAGGTAGCAAGGCTTCATTGACGATATGCTAAACGGAAGCTCTCAACCCTGTAAGAACTCCTCAACTACCTTGTTGAATTTGGCATCGTTTTCCCAAAACATAAAATGACTGCCTCCCTCATCTTCCTCAAAAATCTCCAACTTGCTGCCTGGTATCTGGGAAGCAACCCATCGACTGCACTCTCCACCAAAAACGCTTCCTTCAGCGCCGACAACGAGTGTGGGAATAGTGATTGTTGGAAGAGCATCTCTCCAGTCTAGTGCCACGTGGTTTACCAACAGCGCCGCGGCATCCTCCAGCTTCATCTTACTGCATTGCTGCGCCGTCCATTCAAAGTCTTCCGTACTCAGTAGTGGGGAGAACAAAGATTTCAAGAATCCTGATGCAAACTCGTAGCCTCCGGGACTGCGGAAACTGACACCCATTTCGTGAGCCTTGCCAGGCGTGAATATCGCTCCTAAAGTCTTTGCAACACCTGGTTCCCATGCTGGATCTGCGGTCATACAGGGTGATTGGTCGACAAGTATGAGGCGAGAAACTCGTGTGCGAGAAGCTTCAAAAGCATCCCAATATGCCCAAATTACGGAACAGCCCATAGAGTGTCCACAGAGAACCACATCTTTTAGATCCAACTGTGTGATGATATCGTTCAAGTCTGCGGCTAATCGCGTCACTCGGTACCCTCTACCAGGCTTGTCAGAATCACCCTGACCACGATGGTCAATTGCTATAACACGGTACTTGGTGCTGAAATGTGTAATTTGCTTTCGCCATTGGATTGCAGTTTGGAACCAGCCAGGAAGCAAGAGCAGAACAGGGTCAGATTCTTTTCCGGCAGTGATGTATCGGAGTATCACTCCATCAAAAGTTGTAATGCTGCCGGAGGATGTTGACATGTTGAAATGGAGGATGTTTTCAACGACAGGTATCTGTATCTACAAATGAACGATGATGTCGTTGGTTAAGCCACATTACGACACACTAGACACGGATGGATATCCTCTTATATAGCCGACCGAAGAAGACTACGACAAATTAATCGCATAGTAGGCTACACAGCTTGAGCAGCAGATATAAAAATATCCCATGATCATCTTTGATTAGTTATTGAACCACAACTGAACGGAGTTTCTTGCTCGGTTTTATGATATATATCAGTCAGATTTTAGCCGTTTGCAGCTTGGCGGCGTATTGCTAAGGCCCCTTGGTCAGACTTCCAGCGGGGCTTCCAGTTGCCAACTTAGAGGCCCGATGTATAAGTTGGGTTGGTTGACAACTAAAGACCACGCTAGAAGTCTGACCAAGACGTGTATCGTATTGAATTAGAGCGCATAAATGTGGACCAGAGCCTGTCACAGGTCAAGACTGCGGTGTGACGGACTAGAACTACGGTGTTGCGGTCCAGGGCTGCGGTGTTGCGGAATGATGGTGTCGCATCTGAACCATCGGCAAATTATGGAGTACATGTGTATAAATAATGGAATCAAGAGTTTTAAGATAATTCTGAGAAGAGAAAACAATGGGCATAAAGGATCCCACGGACGCACTGAGTATTGAACTTTGTTCGCCACAAAAGAACCACGGAGGCAACCTCTCTATAAATCCAGTCCTTTTCTTCCGGGCCAATGTACTAATCTTTAATTTGGTTACATACACTCCGTACGCGTCATGTCTCCTCACGCATAAACTCTTGACCGCCGTATTGCAATCAACTCTCCCCTATTGATTGGGTAGTGGAGACAACTAGGGGACAGCAAACTCTCCGTTAATAAGCCACGCAGTAAGGGTGATATCCCTTTTGTTTGCTGATTCTGTTTATAACTGTAGTAAAGGGTAGATGAATAGAGTCATTTAACACGCAAGTGACATTTAAGTCAGGATAGCATTTTATTATGCTATTGTGCCGTTGAACAAAAAGCTCTTTCGGCGGTATATTCCACTAGGGAAACCGGTCCAGCTTTGAGTCCGTATTTTAAAAGAAGAGACCAAAGCAGTCCATATTACAACTACTGGAAGTCCAAATAGCAGAACAACAATATGTTTCGAAGGATTAGTGTTATGGATTGCATTATGCCAATGTCAAATAGTTTACCAAGGGTTCATGGTGGGACCGACCGGTAATCTGACAAGGCCGGCTATCTGTCTGACAACACTGTCCCGCAGCGCCTGAGGACAAAAATAAAAATAAAAAAACTCCGAGAATCATCTTCCGCAGCACAACTATATTCTGGATAACGTGCTGACATTGAAAAGAGTGCTACAAACATGAACCTACCATGTAGCCTATCAGAAAAGGCCATGTGAAGGAAATTTGTTCCTTACTTGGTTGAGCGCGATATTGCTACTGCCCATATTTCGTCTTTAACTCTTGAACCTACTGCTATGTCTAGACATATGCTTAATCCTTAGACTTTTAGACTTCGTGCATTGTCCTTTTCGCAAGTGCTGATGAGCAACATAGTAGTGCATGCATGCTTACGGACACCTTTTTTCTTTCTTATTATTTGGACATGATAACTCCGTACAAGGCTGTTTTCAGGCACGCTCCTTTTCTTGCGCTGCTTTTACTAATACTTTACGTAACAGTGGTTATTTCTGTGTTGCAGTGGAAGACAAACGTTGCACTCTTCACACAGTTGGTTGCCAGGAATGTCCATCGCTTAGGGCCCGTTCAACCCCACACATAATACAGTAGTTCTTCATGAATATTTTATCTTTCATAATGCTAATAAAATACAATACCATCTTTATATGATGAAGCCGATGCTCTAATCCATCTGTAGCTCAAAATGCCCTAGCTTGAGTTGACAAAGGCTTGGAAATACCATCCCCGCGCCGTGGCTTTCAGATTTGTAAGCTTATTCATCCATCACGTCATGAGCATTTGCTTCAAACGCTCATAATGAGGAGATATTCGATTGTAAAATGTAATTTGCAAACTTGATGTAATTCGATATCCATCGCCGTTCACATTTGTATTAAAAAGGACAGGAGATGTTATATTGGTTTACCTGATTATAGCTCCCCCGTAGTAGTCTTTACCCAATCGTGGTGATATAGTTCAGCTAGTTGGACAAAATGTCATCGGCTCAGCAGGTATAGAACTCGGCTCTCAAAATCTAGCGCCATCATTGTCCTTGATCATTAATCTAGTCATCTAGGTTTATCACGACAAAGGTCGTTTCACTCGGCCGGACAGTATTTTTCGAAACTTCATCTCCAAGGACCCGAATTCACAGTTCCCGGCTGAGAAGGGTCGTTATGCATTATACCTCTCCCCTGGCTGCCCATGGGTAAGTGATACCGGTTGTTCAATGTCATCTTAAATCTTCCAAAGCTACTCAGGAGAGAATTACGATTGACATATGTTCTTTAGGCCCATAGAACTATGATAGTGCGGCTCCTCAAAGGCCTCGATTCCATCATTGATGTCTACCAAGTTCATTTTCACATGGGCCCTGAGGGGTGGTACTTCAGTGGCGAAGGCGGCTCACTAACAGAAGATCCCCTCCACGGGTTCAAGAAGCTCAAAGAACTGTACCTCAAAGCCGATCCCAACTACACAGGTCGATATACAGTCCCTGTATTATGGGATAAAAAAGCCGATGTCCTAGTGAATAACGAATCTTCAGAGATTATTCGTATGCTTTATTCTGAGTTTGATGAGTTCCTTCCAGAGCATCTCCGCGAAGAAAACCGCCCTGGCCATGGTCTCTATCCACCGCAGCTCAGAGCTGAGATCGATGAGATGAACGATTGGGTGTATAACACCGTCAATAACGGTGTTTACAAGGTGGGCTTCTCAAGATCGCAAGAATCGTATGACGAAAATATACGCCCGCTATTCGCATCCCTCGATCGCCTTGAAGAGCATCTTGGTCATGGCAAACCCTTTCTCTTTGGAGACTTCATCACCGAGGCCGATATACGCCTCTACACAACCTTGGCGCGTTTCGACGTTGCCTATCATAGCGTCTTCCAATGCAATTTAAAGTTAATTCGACATGACTATCCTCGACTTCATTCCTGGCTTCGGAGGCTGTACTGGGATCAGGATGAAGAGGGGCCACTAAGAGCTGCGTTTTATCGCACTACCGAACCAAATATCGGGCGCTATGCGCTGGGGTATGCGGATTCTAAATGGAGGATTGTCCAGGAGAGCCAAGGGCCTCTGATTGTACCAGCTGGGCCATTGGTGCTGATGGAGCCATTGTAAACAAAGCGTTCCAAGTGGTAGGGTCGAACACTGTAAGGTCAATTGGACTAAGCAAACAGAATGTTTAATAAGGCCTCTATATATCATATATTGCATCAAATCAAGATCCATTTCACAACTAAGTCCACATGCGAAGTTGAAACTAAAAGACTACCAATAAGAGGATAATTGTACATTGATTCATTGTTCCACCTAACAGCTTCGCCATAGACGCCCTTAGAGCCATTTAACGGCATCTTCTAGTAGCCAATGAACCGTATCCAATACCGTCTCCTCATCGTTTCCTGCATCTACGGATACAATGTCATATTCTTTACTGCTAGGAGGCTCATATAAGTCAATCTGGCTGTCGACCAATGCTTCACCCATATAATGCCCCTTGCGCTCTTGCAATCGTCTGACAAGAATTTCTCTGTCGGCCTCTAGGCTGATAAAAACAACTTTCACCTTGTGCGCAGTCATATGGTGACGAATCTGGTCACGATAAACTTCCTTTAGTGCAGAGCAGCTGATGACTACTGAACCGTAAGCAAGGTCGACAAGCGTACCCGTTGCACGTTGATTGATTCGATCTAGCCACGATATGCGGTCCTCATCGGCGAGGCTCACTCCGGACCGCATTTTCTCAACAGCCTGGCGAGAGTGCAATTCATCGCCCTCGATGAATGGAACATCGAGGGTTTGTGATATCTGCTTTCCGATTGTAGATTTGCCCGTTCCGCAAGGTCCGATCATGACGATTGCCAATTTCTCAACACCGGAGGGAGATGCCGATTTCTTCCATGCCCTTTCGGTTAGGTAACCGATGAACGTTGCGACATGGTCATCCAGCAGATTGGGGACTTTGTTCAAAGCTGGCGACAAGGATCTCGCGACATCAGTGGCAAACGTTTTCGACGGGCTAAATGAATCCTTATCATATTTGGATGCGAAGAAGTCTGTCAATTTGATGGGCGGATTGGCGATTGGATCCGGATTTGACCCTCGTAATCTTTTAATCCACTCCTTTGGCTCAACTTCGTCAAAGACAAGTCCGCATTTGCGTAGAGCTGGCAAAAGATCATCACTCCAGCTAAAGACTTGTGGATTGGTGATATTGGCGAAGATACTGCCTGCAGTCGAAAGCGATATGTCTGTGACAGCGTCTGCTACAACATCAACAGGTAACCATGATGGCGTTTCTTGGAGTTTTGGTAGTACTCCTATCGTGATTGCAGTTTGCATCATCATAGGTACTGCTTCCTGAGCATTCCAGACACCGTGCTCTGTATCCCCGATGATTTGTCCGACGCGCAGCACGCGAGCCGTAACACCTTGAGACGAGGCCTTGGCACAGATATGCTCAGCTACCGACTTAGACTGTGCATATCCCATGTTCTGAGCCCATGCAAAGTCCGGAGAGCGTTCAGGTACTGGGATAACTGTCGCCTGTGAACATGTACTGACAGATGAACAAAAGTTCATTGTTGCTGGCGGCTGCGCGGCTTGACAGAGAGATATGAGGTGAGATACACCTGCAATATTGCCCTTTTCGAAGCTCGATAAATGCATATTAAAGTTGACTGACCAAGCACAATGGATAACGGCAGACAATTCTTCCGTTATTGTCTCATAGGTTGTCTTGGAAAGTCCAAGATCCGGTTCGCCTAGGTCGGAGGGTAGGACCACGACCTTGCGCCGAGAAGACAGTGATAATGAATGGTGTACCCTTCTCTGTATCATCGAGCTCACAACTCGTTTGTGACCATGAGATGAATCATCAGCCCGGACAAGGCAGTAGATGCGGCCAATATCTGGTCGAGAGGCTAATTTTGCAACCACATGGGCTCCCAGAGAACCGGTAGCTCCCGTAACAACCTGGTAGAGACAAATGTTAAAAGGGGACTGGATTAAAAGTATCGTGGGTAAATGAACTTACTATGGTTGACCTGGAAGGTTTGGACACAAACGCATTCGAATACTGCGCCACGAGACTTTCCATCTGCTGTTCGATCGATGGCTCCTCATTCTTACCACCACCCATTCGGAGGCTAAGTAAGAAAGAGCTCAACCTATTGATCGAAGGCTGTTCAAACACGATTTGTTGTCCAAGTTTATTTCCACCAATGTCAACTGTCCTCAGTATCTCACTTCTCATTTGGATAGCTTGCAGAGAGTCCAGACCCAACACAAAAAAGTCGTCATCGTCTGCAATGGCTGTCGGTGAACCAGCGGTCTTCTCAAGCAAACCTCTCAAAAACTGGCGAAGCTCTGGGAGGTCAAGCTGCACAAGCTCTCCAGACACAGTGTCGGCAAGATCATATGTCTCTTCAATCTCTTGCTGAAATTGCTTATAAAAAGCCTGGCGGATTATGCTCCCTTTGTCTGTTCGAGGATATGAACAATCGTGTGGCAATACTCGAATCATGTTGCGCGAGATTCGAGCAAATGCATCCGCAGATTTGTTTGCCGATTCAATGACTGGCCAAATCGTATCGAGAATCTCCTCATTAGTACGAGCGGCCAATCGTGCAGCCGGAATAAGCAGCATCCCCAAATGCGCTCGGCCTGCACCAAATACGACAGCCTCAGCAACATTTTTGTTGGATCGTATCTTTCCCTCCATCATTACAGGATTGAATTTCTCGCCGTTCACAAGAACTATGGTGTCATCGAGGCGGGCAATGTATTTCCATGCTCGAGGAATACTTGGATGAGGCTGGAATAGGTCTTTGGTGGCATAAGAGCCGTCGGGCTGGTTAGATTGCACCTTAGATGGCCAGCCATCCAATACAACGCATTCATATAGGTTTGGGCCGCGTGGAACCCATTGCAAGAACTTGGATAGTTTCTCACTCTCTCGCACATAATTCCACTCTTTATCGCCCTCGGCTCGGAAAGAGGTCATCAGTTGCCCAACTTCTGTCCTGTTAATGGTTAATATTGCAGTCATTGAGAATATTATTAGGTACCAAATAGACTCACGCGCCGTAGTGGCCAATTAAGTTGACTCCATTCTCAACAAGCAGGTTCCCGAGATCATCTGGACAGGCTGAGCCGCCATACATCACAACCTTCAATTCCTGAAGGACACTAATGCCTTTCTGTGTCTCCGAGAGGAGCTTGAGCGCATACGGAACACCATAGAATATCTCAAAATTATTTCCTTGCATGATTTTGAGCAGGTAGTCTTGCGTTAATGGAAGCTCAGCGTTATAGAGATGAATTGACTTCCGGCTGTGCAATGCTCGAAAGAAGTTGCAAATACCATGATTGTGAAACAACGGCAATGTAATGAACGATCTCATGTTCATGCTCACGGAGTAATTTGCAAGGCATGACTTGTGAGACTGGTATATCGGCTTTGGATGCCCAGTTGACCCTATCCTTTCATCAACATTTGGCTAGTCAAAATATGGGTGGAGGGCTTACCGCTAGAGTGAATTATGAAAGCGATGTTTTGGGTCTCAATCTCGGCATCCAGCTGAGAATCCAGCTGAGTATCGCCATGAGCCTCAATAGAGTACTCAAATACCGCACGGTCAACAATGTCAAGGAGCTGTAGGGAGGGCACTAGCCCCTGGACTGCTTTGGCGGTATTGATATGCCTCTTATCAGCAATAATTGTAGCCGCTGATGTGGCATTTATGAGTGATTCAACAGCTTCCCCTGTGATTCTTGTTGAAACAAGCAAAACCGTATGTCCGAGCTTTGTCAAAGCTAACAAGGTTATGAGATACTCAAAGTTTGACAGACCCAAGAGCGCTACCACACGCGGCTTTTCTTGAGAAGACTTTCGCGCGGGAACATATTGCGCATATCGATTTGCCGCTCTCCAAGCAAAAACATCAAGTTCTCGTAAGTTGTAATCTATGAAGTCGATACCTGATCTCGGGTATGAGACAATGTGATCTTCGGGATAGGAGATAGCCCGTTGGCGTACCAACGCATCAACTGTTCGTAATTCTGAATCAGACTTGAATGCATTGGTAGTAGTGCTTGAAGACTGAGTTAGAATATGTCCTGGCGCATTGCTGGGAGTATCTGGCCGAGAAGAAGGAACGTAGATTGTAGCGGGCATGGTGTCTCTAGCTTGGTCTACTCATGCAATACCGATACCATGAGAAATCTCCTTCGACGATTGTAGGAATGAGCGACCTATTTCACAAAGAAGCAAAGTCAACTATATCCGTGCTCTGTTACTAAGCTTGCCAAGAATGATGATATGGAATCTGCTCATCGAAATCGTCGCTTGATGTTGCTTTGTCGATAATCCAATATTGCGGACTTTTATCCGGCATCGCGATGATCTTCATCTTGGCTACGGAAAAAGGTCCGCTCAGTCCACCATTCTTTAGCTGAATGTGAGTGGAACTTAAAAGTTCGCTAATATATATACTGTAAATATAGTAGCTTTTAAAGGTTTTGTAGTTAATTTTACTATTTAAGCTGCCCTAAAGATTTTTTCCTAAAGGGTAAATATATAAATAATTTTAATTAATAAATTAATATTATTTATAAAAACTTACTAAAGTTTAAAAATATACTTAAGGTTAAAATATAACTTTAGTTACCTTAGAGGTATAAATATATAATTAAAAATAAATATAAAAAAAATAATAAAAAAAATTTATAATTAATTTTTAATTTTTATTAATTAATTTTTATATAATATTTATAATAAATTTAAATTTATTTTTATTTTTATTAATAATTAATTAATAAAAAGTAATAATTTTAATTTTAAAAAAAATATATTAAGTTTTAAATTTAATTTAAATATTTTTATTTATTAATTTTATAATTATTTATAAAAAAAACTATTACAAAAATATATATTATAATTAATATAAAAGTTTTAAAAAAAATTTATAAATATTTTATAAATTATAAAAAAATAATAAAATTAAAAATTATTATAAATATATAATAAAAATATTATTAAATATATTATAATTATTAAATTTATAAAATTAATTAATATTTAAAGTTAAATTATTAATAAAAGTTAATTATTTATAAATTTAATATAATTATTTTTAAGGTTTATTTTAATAATTTAATTTTATAATTTATAATGTTATTTTTAAATATAATTAATATTTTAAAAATAACTTTTATAATTTTAATTTTTATTATAATTAATTATAAAAACTTAAATTATATTATTATTTAATTTATTTAAAATTAATATATAAAAGTTTAATTATTATAATAAAAATTATAATATAATTAAAAACTATTATAAGTTTTTTTTATTTATAAATTAAAAAAATAATAAAAATAAAATATTAATACTTAAAGTAAAAGTAATAAAATATTATTTAAGTTAATATATTTCTTTTAGTTAATTAAACTAAGTTAAAAATTAAACTAAGTTAAAAATTATATTTATATAAAATTATACTTATATAATAAAAATACTATATCCCTTTATTAATTATTTATTAAAAAATTTTTATTTAAAAATATTACTTAGTGTAATAAACTAAAGCCTATAGATTAATATAAATTAACTATTTCTAAAGGATAAACCTTAGAATAGTTTTGTAGTTTATATTAGTAAAGTAATTAAGTCAGTAAATAAATAAATTTATTATTAACTAATATAAATAAAAAATAAATATTTAAGTTTTAATTTAATTATATTATAATACTATAGTTATATATATAATAATAATTAATTACTTAAGTATTTTAATAAATAATATAAAGTAAATTTATATATTTAATTATATACTTTAGATTATATTAAAAAATTAGTTTTCTTAGTTTTTTTATAATAAATTATTTAAAAAGTTAGTTTTTTTAACTTTTTTATTAAAAAATACTAATAGTTTTAATTAATTTATTAATCTATAGTTAATTTAGTCTTAGTTAATTTATTAATTTATTATTATAACTTTAAAAACTAAGTTATAATATAATTCTTTTTTTTTATTAATTTTATTTTTAAAACTTAATTAAAATAATATATAAATATTGACTTTTATTTTATTAATAAATATTATAATTTTTTTATTTTATTTTTATTTTTATTTTTTTATTATAATTAATTATAAATATAAATATAATAATAAATTTATTTTTAAATAAAAAAAAGAAAAATATAAAAGCTTTATTAATATTATACTAAAGAATTTTATTTTTATTATAAAATTATATACTTATTATAAAAAATAAAACTATAATTATATTACTTTAGAAAAAGATTTTTATTAATATTTTTCTTATATTTAAAATTAGAAATCCTATTATAAAGTATTTAATTTTATTTTATAATAAATATATAAAATAATAATTTATTATTTAAAATTAAATAAAAAGTTAAAAAAAATAAAAAAAAATATAGCTTAAAGCTAATATTTAAGTAAAATATTTTTATATTTAAAAGTATAAATAATTAAAGTAAATAAAATAAATTATTATTTATAATATTAATAATTTAAAAAAACTAAAATATATTAAATATAAAAAATAAAAAATATAAAAAATAAAAATTATTTATTAAGCTAAAATATTATTACTTAATTTATTTAATTTTATAACTTAAGGTTTTATAATTAATATGATTAATTAAAATACCTTTAACTTTTTTTTATTAAACTTAAACTTTAATAAAAGTTATTTATAAAGTTTTTTAAATATTTAAGATTTTTAATAAATTATTATAAATTTTTTATTTTATTATAATTTTTTTATTTTACTAAGTATTTAATTTATTAAATATTTTTATTAAATTTTATTATTTTAAGTTTTTTAATTTTATATTTAAATTTTTTACTTTAAATAATAATTTTATTTTATATAACTTTATTTATTTTTTTATTTATTAATATTTTTTTTAATAATAAAATATAAAAATTTAAATATATAATTTTTCTTTATTTTCTTAAAGTAAATAAAAGATTTATTTTATAATTAATAAATTTAATTTTCTTTATTACTTTATAAAGTCTAAGTTTTTTAAAATTAAATTTATTATTTAATTTATTTATTTTAATATTTAACTATTTATTATTTTATAAATATTAAAGTAAATAAATTATATTTCTTTTTTAAAAATTAATTCTTTAATTTTTTTTATATTTATAAATTTAATTATTTTTTATTTAATAAATTTAAATTATATTTATAATTTTTAATATAATCTTTTAAATTTATTAATTATAATAATAACTTTATTAATATTTTCTCTTTTAATAAATAATTAATATAAATTTAATATAAATTTATAATTTATATAAAATAATAAATAATTTATAAATTCTATTAGTATATTATTATAAAATACTTAAGTAATTAATAAATATTTTATTTAATTATTTTAATTAAAATTAATATAATATTATAAATAAGTTTTAATAATTTAATTAATTTATTTTATTTATTTATTTATTTATAAATAATAAATTATATTAATTTTATATTTTAATTTAATTTATATTATTAATAATTATTAAAATTTTAATATAAATATTAATCTTTTATTAAAAATAATTTTATTTAATAATTTATAATTTATATAAATATTTTAAAAAATATATAAATTAAGTTTTTTATAAAAAAATTTTTATTACTAAAATAAAATAAATTATTTTTAAAAATTAATTAATTATTATAAAAATATTATTTTAAATATTTTTAATTATAAGTTTTTTTAAAAATAAAAGTTTTATAATATAATTAAATATAATTAATTTTTAATTTTTAATTAAAATTAATAAAAATTATAGTTTTTTATAAAAAAATAATATAATACTTTAGTTTATTTATATATTATATATTTTAATATAACCTTTTATATTTATTTTTTAATATTTTTAAATTTAAAATATTAAATAATTTATTAAATAGTTTTTTATATTTTATAATATTTATTAAGCTTATATATATAAATTAATTTTATTATTTTACTTTATAAATCTTATAATACTTAAATAAATTTATTTAATATTAAGTATTTAATATATATAAAAATACTTTTTAAATATTATTTATTTTTTTAGTTTTTTATATATTTTTTTATATTATTAATAATTAAATTATTTATTTTAATTTAATATATAATATTAATTAATTAAATTATAAAACTTTTATATTAATTTTTCTTTAATATTTATATTTTAATTTTTAAAATTTTTTAAAAATAATTTAAATATATTAGAGCCTATTTAAAAAGGGTGCGGTTATACAACAGCTACGCACCGGCTATATTACAGGGGCGTAAGCTAAAGGTTACAAAGCCCTTAGCTTAGTAATAATACTATAAAAGACCTAAAATCTAAGGAAGGAATTAAAGAAGGTAAAGATAAATACAGTTACTTTACTACCCTAAGCTTACGTATTTATTATATAGCTATTTATAATTATTCTTTATCCTTCTTTACTTTTTTTTATTAACTTAGTTTTTAATAAATTTATCTTTTTACTTATAAAAAATAAAAGGATTATTAAGGATAAGGATAATTATTAATAAAACTTATTTATATAGATTATAATTTAATAACTATAAAGCTATAGTTCTATAGACTTAATTATATATATAATTATAAACTTTTCTATAGGTAACTTTATAAATAAATACTATAACCCTCCCTTAATAAAAGACCCTTAAGCTAAGTTAACTTAAATCTTTTTTATTAAAGGAATTATAAAAATATATTATAGTTATAGTTAAAATATAAAAAAAAAGAAAAATAATTTAACATTTATAAATAATTAAAAATAAAAAAAACCTTACCTTTAATATTAGCTTTTTAAGTAAAAACCTTAAAGTAAAACTAAAATAAACCTACTTTAACCTATAGGAAAAGATTTAAATATTAACCTTTAAGTTTAAGGGGTAAAATTAAATAAAGCTATAAATATACTTGATATATTTAAATAATTAATTTAACTTTAAAAAGGATTAATTTAAAAAAAATATATATAAAATCTAGTATATTAGTAATTATTTTATAAAAAATATAAAATATTAATAAACCTTATTTTAAACTAAAGAATATTAATACTTTTATATTAACTTTATATATAAATAATATATAAAGTAATATAAAAATAATATTAATAATAAGGCTA